GATGCATCAAGCGGGATTGTAACGCTGTAGAAGTTATAACAAAAAATCTCATATCTGAACAATCAGTTGTATGGAGGCTATAGGTTATAGCGACCAAATCTTCACCATTTTCTCTGTAAGTATTCTTCTGATAATTTCATGTTCCCAGCTGCATAAATGACGGAGTTGTAACGAAAATTCTCATATCTGAACAATCAGTTGTATGGGAGATATATGTTATAGTGACCCGCTCCTTGTTATTTTCACCGTAACCATTCTTTTAATAATGAGTGACAACGGTGCGAAATTTTATGTTCCTAGCTGCATAAATGGAGGAGTTAGGAAAAAGGACCTCATATCTGAACAATCAGTTGTATGGGGCTGCAGGTTATAGTTATCCGATCTTTGTTATTTTCACTATAAGTATTCTGTTGATAATGAGTTCATGTTCCTAACTACATAAATGGAGGAGTTATAACGAAAAATCTGACATCTGAACAATCAGTTGTATGGGAGCTATAGGTTATAGTTACCCAATCTTTGTAATTTTCGCTGCAAGTTTACTGTTGATAATTATTAAAATCAGTATTAAAATTAGTACGAAATTTCATTTTCCTAGCTATATAAGTGGAGGAGTTATAACGAAAAATCTTATATCTGAACAATCAGTTGTATGGGAGTTATAGGTTATAGTGACCCGATCTAAAGTATTTTGTTGATTATGGGTGGAAGTATTACAAATTTTTATGTTCCTAGCTGCATTAATGGAGAAGTTATAACGAAAAATCTCATATCTGAACAATCAATTGTATTGGAGCTATACGTTATAGTGGTCAGATTCTTCCGGTTCCGACAAATGATTAATACAATATAAAAATACATCCACTTACTAAAATTCATTCCGATATCTCGAAAACTGAGAGACTAGATTGCAGACAAACAGAGGGACAGACGGACAAACAGGCAGATGGACAGACGGACATGGCTAAATCGACTCAGCTCGACGTTCTGATCATATAAGTATACATTTTAATGGGTCTATCTCTTTTTATTCTGGTACTTACAAACATCGGACCAAAGTTATAATACCATTTCATGCTCATGAAAGGTATAAAAACGATAGGGACAAAGACAGAGATAATGAAAGTCATAGAGATAAAGATACATACATACATAGATACCATGAAAGAAATATAACTGATTTAGATATATTCTGTTATGATATCGTGTTATGTTATTGTATGTAACAATATGTTATGTTATATTACGTTATGCAATGTTATGTTATGTTGTTTTATGCTATTTTATGTTATGATATGTCAAGTTATAATAATTTATGTTACTTTGTGTTGTGTTATGCTATGTTATGTAATGCTATGTTATGCTATGTAATGTTATATTATGTTATGTTTTGTGGTGTTACGTTTTGTTGTCCAACGCAATTCAACTTAACTCAGCACAACTCATTTCAAATCACCTCTTAACAACTGGTCTCAGTTCGCCTCAACTCACCTTAACTCACCTCATCCCAACCCACTTCATTTCAACTTAACTCACCTTAGCTAATGCCATTTCACCCCAACTACCCTTATCCCACCTCAACTCATCTCAACTCACGTTAACCTATCTAATCTCACCTTATCTGAACTCACTTCACTTCAATTCACTTCACCTTAATTCAACACAACTCAGCTCAGCTCAGCTCAGGTCACGTTAACTCAGCTCAACTCTCCTTAATTTTAGTGGATGAATTTCAACCGCTGGGCGAACACTAGTTTTATTAAAAATAGGTAAGTTCAGGTTACAATATAATCAGGAGGAACAAGTCCTTTCGTTTCCAGGATAGCTTTATCAATGAATTCGCAATATTTAGAACTAATAGTAACAATGGGTGTATTTGTTATAATCACTAGGAAAGAGCATGAAGCAGGGGAAGTCATTTATATAGAGATTAGTTCGATAGTAAAAGATAGGAAAGAAATATTTACAAAAATTTATGTTTCAAAGTAAAAAATAATGGGATATGTGTATGGTCAAAACAAAGTTGAAAGTCGAAATAATTTCAGCTCTCTTTAAGCACTTTTTAAGTAAAATTGGGAAAAAAATTCGAAATTATTTTTAGCTTCATCTTTGATTCAATGTTGAATATGCCGCATTATATTTTAAATTTAAAGAGATTTACAAATTAAGCATACAAATTAAAAACATTAATAAAAAATAATTAAAACTAAATAATAATTCAAAAATTGTCAAAACTTGTCTATATGTGGGTGTCTTATAGTTTTGATAACCATTATATTATGGACACTATGACACTTATTCCTCACAGTCGGAATCTAAATCCCATCCAAGCCCCAACTAATATTATTCGCTTCAAGTTCTATTACTAACTCCATTGCTTCGCCAAAGAAAGGTCTCCGGATTGTGGCAACAACCGCGTGCAAGTAATCAGAGGATCTGATGAAAGTAACTGTCTATTAAAAATGTCTTTTAAATTGTGAGCGCGACGCGTTTTCCAACTAAAGATCTCTATAAAGTTTTTAAAGTCCTTGTTAAAAATAAATCCGCTTTTCACTAAAGATTTTAAAGTCCTTGTTAGAACTAAATCAGATTTATATTCACAGTTTACTTTTTTTTCGTTTTCCAAAGTTGAGAGTTCATAAAATAAAATATTCACTAAGAGCGTGTGTGAATCGGTAACAAAGTTCGCGGCGAGAAAATTTTTGACAACTATGAGGTGAATAAAATTTCAGTAGCTCATGAGGCTAGAGAAATTTTTGACAAATGCATAGAAAATTTTGACAATCGCAAAGATTGTTGATTTGTGTAATTTTTCGTAAAATAAAAGCTTAAATTGATCAATCAACGATGGTAGCTGTTTTCTTAAAATATTTATTTCACTTCAATTTGTAATATTTTATTCCGCATAAATCTGCGGTTATCAAAATTTTACTGCTGTCAAAAAATATTTCATTTCACACCGCAGATTGGCAAAACTGTCTCACCATAGTAAAAGTATTATTCAACAGCTTTCCCCATAAACATTGTTACCGATTTACACACGCCCTAAGTAATAAAAGTTTTTATATGCTCCTTTAAAAAGGTTGTAACTTTTCTATTTATGTAGCGGTTCTAGTGAATTCTTTAACATATCCTTTATTTTATTTTCTTAGGGTAATTTTCGGTCGGCGAAAATCCTCCGGCTGAACCCTCCACGAGGGTGCCGACTGGTAATGGCCACTACAATTTAGGTTCTGTACGATGTCAGAATGGTGTCCAGCTAAGATCAGAAATCAGTGCTATGTGCTTAAGCTCCTCAATAGCTAAGTTATATGGAAATGGTTTTTGATCGTGGCCTATGGAGGTAATGGAGGAGCAAACCTCTCTAAAAAAAGCTCTGGGTTGGAACAAGGTGTTAGACGACCCGTGCTGATGTTCAGCCTGGCTGGGGACCCAGATTAACAAATAGCCCAGTCTCGAACGGAGTGCTCCGGATACCTGGCGACCTCCGGTTCTATCAAGCCTTACCTGCGCACACGGACCTCTGTGCGGGCGGACCTCCATTGTCCGACACTCGTGGAACCAAAATTATGAGCGCAATTTACAACAAAAAACAGCACAACAAGGAGGACGGCCCTCCAAAAAAAACCGACAGGGGTGGCTCCAATTAATGCTACAGCCTCGAGCAGGGCATTTATCGGACCGCCAGTGACCGGAGTTAGAGGGGGCTTAAGCGGTAGGGCTGGTCCTGGTACGAGTACCATAGGAGGCAGAGGGGGGAGTGGAGGCTTGGGCAAACCGGTCTCCAACCGATTCATGGCAGGAGCTGCAGCGTCAGCTCCACCTAGGGAAGTCAGACCCCAAAGCACACACACCTTAACCCAAGGGCGGGGTTCGGCACCTGCTTCGAAAATAACCCGGCAGGATGCTGCCGACATTCCGAGCAGCTCGAGGAAAGTTGCAAACACAGGCCTGGGGGGGGGGTCGGCTAAACATGTCCGCCCCTCGAAGCAGGCCTATTATGACAAAAAGGCGGCCATGAGGGTCGTGAACAAGATCGGGGACCTGCCGACAGAGCAGCTCACGGAGGAGCAGGTTAGGTCACTGGAGTGGGCGAGGGGAGTAGTAGCCAGCTTGGGAAGACCGGCAGGCTCTGCTCCAAAAAGGCAGCGGTCTGCTGAACAGGCAGGGGGAGGGGTCACCAAAAGACCAAGAACAGGCGGCCATAAATACCCCACCTTCAGGGACGTAGTGAAGGGAGGCGGTGAGGTACTGGCAATCATCGACAGAGGGGAGGAGGAAGGGACTATCCCCAAAGAGAAGTGGAGGTTGGTGGAGGAAGCGATCGCCGAAATCTACCTCCAAGTCCTAGAGGAAAATCCTGGACCTCCTCCTCTCTGCCATGATTCCGGATGGTATCAGGGTAGAGCTAAACTCATCGCCTGCGAGGACCATAGGTCAGCCCAGCTCTATAGGTTGGCCGTTAGTAAGGTAGGTGAAGTTTGGCCGGGAGCCAACCTCGAGGCCGTCAACAAGGAAGATATTCCTAGCAGACCGAGGGCTCGAGTTTGGATTCCGGCCAGACCCGCCGAGCCTGAAAGAATTGAGCGGATCTTCAGATCCTGTAATAAGGACCTGCCAAGTCATAATTGGAGGGTAGGGAAGATAGAGGAGCCAGTAGAGAATAGAAGGCAGGTGTTGCTGATCCTCAACGCCGAATCGCTAGCCCCACTGGCGCAAAAGGATTGGATGGTGAGATTCGGGTTTAATGACGCAACCATTCGAATCTACCGCAGCGACGAGCCGAGCTTGGACCTTAGTGAGGAGAGCGACAAGTCCGGCCTGCGCAGCGGTGGTGAAGAAGGGTTGCCCAGCAGCCAATGCTCATCTGACTCGGAGAGGCTATCCGGATTGGGGCCATTATTCTACGAAGAAGACCTCCTCGCCGATGACACCGAGGGTGAGGAGATCGAAGAGGCGGACGTGGATGTCACGATGGTGGAGGTAAAACGGGCAGATTCTGATGAAGCTGATCCAGATCAACCTCCACCACTCTAAACTCGCGTCTGCGAACCTTGAGGTCCGCCTGGCTGCCGGTGGACTCGACGTTGCCCTCATCCAGGAACCGTGGATACACGGCAATAAAATCTGCGGACTTGGGATGAAGGGCTTTAAGCTTATTGCCGCACAAAATGCAGGTAAGACTCGAGCTTGCATATTAGCAAGGAACAACTTAAACATCTTCCTGCTCCCACAGCTTAGTGACGGCGATCTGGTAGTGGCAAGCATTGAGCTGGACAAAACCAGCTTTTGGGTAGCCTCTGCCTACATGGCCCATGACAAGGACGTGCCACCAGACGGGTTTCGGACCTTGGCCGAGGAAGCAGCCTTCAAGAACAAACCACTGGTTGCCTCCCTAATGCCCACAACTTGATGTGGGGGAGTACGGACACGAATGCTAGAGGTGAGTCGTTACTAGACTTCATTCTAGGGAACAAACTTAGTGTCTTGAATTTAGGCTCAGAGCCGACCTTCATAACAAAGAGTAGAGAGGAAGTTTTGGACATAACTCTGGCTTCAGACATGTTTGCCCATAAAATCAAGAGATGGAGAGTACTGAAGGAAAAATCGTATTCTGACCATCGTTATATTGAATTCGAAATAGATCTTAAGACCCCCCAAGTAAGGGAGTTCAGAAATGTTAGAAATACCGACTGGGGGGTTTACAATAATAAATTAAGGACTTTACTACCAAAGACCCCGCCACGCCGGTGGAGCTGGAGGGGTTGGTTAATCAGGTTACTAAAGCCATGAATAGTTCTTTGTCAGCCGGGTGCCCGGTTGTTCGATACAGGGGAAAAAGCAAACCACCTTGGTGGTCGAAACAATTATCCTTGTTACGTGAATCTAATAGGTCAATGTTCAACAAGGCCAAAGCCACGAGAGCAGCAGAGGACTGGGAAGCCTACAAGGCTGATCTAAAAATATACAAAAAAGCAGTTAGAACTGCGAAACGTTAATCCTGGCAAAGTTACTGCAAGGGAATTGAGGAAACCACGGAAGCGGCCAGATTAAGAAGAATTCTCGCAAAGTCGCCATGCAACCTTGGCTATCTCAAGGGTCAAGGGAACTCATGGACTACGACGAGCGAGGAATCTTTAGGTCTCCTCCTGGACACACACTTCCCTGGAAACAAGCCGGTGGAACCTAATGACCCCCAGAATGAAGGGGTTCTATCTGATCTGGGAAACCGACTGATTACAAACGAAAAAATTGAATGGGCTATTAAGACTTTTGGTCCTTACAAGTCACCGGGACTTGATGGAATACACCCGGTAGAGCTACATCAATCACGGGGTACTATCTCTCCGTTCATTGTGGTTATTATAAGAAGCTGTCTTAACATGAGCTACATCCCGCTAGGCTGGAGAGAGACAAAAGTCTCCTTTATACCCAAGGCGGGCAGGTCCTCTCATACCAACCCTAAGGACTTCAGACCCATCAGTCTTACGTCTTTCCTTCTCAAAATTTTAGAGAGGATAGTAGATGATTATGTACGGGGCGTGATACCAACAAGTAGGCTCTCCCCAGCGCAGCATGCCTATACGAAAGGCAAATCCACGGAAACCGCCTTGCACTCGCTCGTTGGGTTGGTGGAAAGAAGTTTATTCGACAAAGAGTACGCTCTGGTTGCCTTTGTAGACATAGAAGGCGCCTTCAACAATATTAACGCAAGCGCCATAACGGGTGCCTTAGAAGAGCTTGGAGTTGACCAGAATGTGGCGGTGCTGATCGAGTCTATACTTGTCAGCAGGACGATAACCGCTAAGCTCGGCAACACCACAATAAGCAGAAAGGTCTGTAGAGGCACTCCTCAGGGAGGGGTTCTCTCCCCTCTTCTCTGGAATCTGGCGGTGAACTCTCTGCTGGTGGCACTAGAGAGGGGGGGTTGCCATGTCACAGCATATGCTGACGATCTGGCAATTGCCGTCAAAGGCAAATACCCAAATACCCTAATGGAGATTCTGCGCTCTAACATGGCCACGCTTAGGAACTGGACAGAGAGTAGGGGACTCGGAGTAAACCCCGAGAAAACCGAAGCAATTCTCTTCACAAGGAAACACAGGCCTCCCATTGTCTCCCCGCTAATCTTTTTGGGTGTGGAGATATCCTTGAAGGAGAATGTTAAGTATCTAGGACTCATATTAGACAGGAAACTAACGTGGAAACCTAATATAGAGGAAAGAGTAAGGAAGGCCAACGTTGCATTATACACATGCAAAAAAGCGGTCGGAATCAAGTGGGGGTTAACACCTCGTATTACACACTGGCTATACACCTCGGTGGTCAGGCCAATACTCTTATATGGAATACTTGTATGGTGGCCAGCAACTCAAAAGGCAAGTTACCTAAAACTATTGAGTAAGGTCCAAAGAACAGCGTTTCTATGCATTTCGGGTGCCTTAAGGACCACCCCAAATAAGGCGCTGGAGGTGATTACCAATTTACCCGCAATAAACCTGGTGGGAAAATACGCGGCCGCCGATTCAGCGCTCAAACTAAGAAGTATGGTGCTATGGAAGGATCGGCGGTTTGGTCACGCTTCCATACTTCACACTCTGGGTAGTTTCAACCAGGAAGTCGACTACTCCGCTCCTAAACCAATCTTCAATAGGCTCTTTAAGACGAGCATCCCGTCAAGAGGAGAATGGCAAACGCCAAGACCATGGAGACGGGGGGAATTGAATTTTTACACAGATGGATCCAAGCTAGACAATATATTAGCACCGTGTTCAAGGTCAGCCTCATATGGGTTCCGGGACACAGAGATATTGAAGGAAACTGCAGGGCTGATGAGCTTGCCAGGAAAGGTACGAATCTACCCCTATGTGAAAACAGGGGCACTATTGGGATACCCATGGCAACCTGCAAATTAGAACTTCGAAAGGCCAAGAGGCCAACAGGTCATGGCTAGAGGAGGGCACATGTAGAACAACCAGGCTGCTTTGGCCGCAAATAGAAAAGAAAAAGACGAAAGAGTTGCTGTGCCTCTCAAGAGAGGACATTGCGAAGGTCACGGCTTGTGTAACCGGTCATTGGCTATTTGGCAGGCACTCTTCAAGACTAGGAATTTTCTCCCACGAATATTGCAGAAGTTGCAGAGATGAGGAAGAGGAAGAAACCGTAGAGCACTTCTTCTGCAGCTGCCCAGCTTTGGCCAAGAGGAGAGCAAGCTTTTTAGGCAGGCCCTTCTTTAGCTCTCTTACGGAACTATCACGCGTAGGAATAAAACCGATTCTACGCTTTATAAGAGCCTCAAATTGGTTCTCTGAAGAATAGTCACCGAGGTTCCCGTGTTCTGCAGTGGTACCACAATGGACCTTCAAAAGGTCTAAGTGAGTTGGTAAATTGAACCGACTGCCACATCAACCTAACCTAGGGTAAGTTTCTAATGTAAGCAGTAAAGTTGCCTTTACTAACAGGGCAGAGAAATTGTACCTCACTTTAAAGTGTTTTGGTATTCTTATCTTACCGGTAAAAATAAATCTGTTATTCCGTAGAGTGAAACTTCACTAAATTTTCGAGAGTGAAACTTCACTAGATTCGTCATAATTTTAAAGGTTGGCAATGCAACATAAGCAAATATAGAGCAAGAGCAACTGTTAGCAAAAACCAAAACCTTGGTTGAAATATCTAATATAGCTGGCTCATGAACCAAAACCAAACCACAATTTAAAGTTGGGTACAAATCTTAAAGGTTGCATCGGGTGAGCAACAGTTTATCGATTCGAAAAATTAATGCGCTGATGAGAAAACTCGTATATCCAGACGATAAAGTGGCCGGTAAACTAAAGGTTAGATGAGAAAACGGCCCTTAAGCAGTGAAAGCTCCCATAAGCGGACACCGATGGTCACCTACTTTTTGTCCGCCTATGGGAGATGTCCGCTTATGGGAATTTCTTAAAAAATAACATTAAAATTGAAATTGCGGGTTTCTAAATTAAAATAATATTTATTCTTCAATAGACAAAACAGGATTAATTAAAAATGAATTCAAATTTATCTCGCTTTCTTTCGTACCGACAAATCTCATTGCCCACTTCGCTCAAGCAGCAAGAAGAAAGCATCGAAAAGGCAACACATTTTCTAGAAAAGAAAATATCTTTGAATGTGGACTATGTTCTTACGCACATATACATACATATGTACAAGCGCAAGAGTCAACATATGACTGAAAAAAAAAAACAAAATCGGCCGCTTGTTACAGCCTCGCGTCCGCTTATGGGAGATTTTTTTCATATCTGGACATTTTTGAATGTCCGCGTCCGTTTATCGGAAAGTCTGTGTATGGGAGAGTGTTTGGATGGAAATCAATAAAATAAAATAAAAACTTTTTAATATACCACGCTTTTATAAGTGGGCTAAAAAGTAGAAAATAATATTTCTCAGTCCCATAGAATTTGTTTTGATGACTTTTCATTTTGAAATTTTAGCAAAAGTCATTATAAACAATTTATGAGATTGAAAACGAAAAACGTGGGGCGCATGCAATATAAAGCATTCGATTTAATAGACAATAGTCAAACTACATAACATAGACCTTAAATTTTTACAGCGCATGTATGTACAAATTTGAGATCGATTTTTAGCGTTATTCATATACCCACATATGTACATTAGACTGCATCACCAAAAAAAAGTGGCGATTTTTCCGCCGGGATTACAAAATTTATTATTTTTTAAGACGTCCACCAAAATATTTCGAAAAAATATTTAGATTTAAGCGAGCTGGACCGATTTGAAAATACCTCCAAAAATTAAGTTTTTTATGAATAACAATATTTTTTTAAAGAACTTTTTGAAAAAAGTCCTCTCAGATGACAAAACGGTTTAAGCTTAAAAAATCTGCATAAAAATATTTAAAAATCTTTTCAACGGAGTCGTAATAATGAGATTTTTGATGCTGTTTTTTTACTTTTTTTCAAAGATTAATTTACGAAAAACTTAAATAACTGGCCAAACCTATTTTGAGTTAGACTTATGGGATCTCGGTAGAAAGGTATTTCCCCACTATTTTTATTTATGTGCACAAAAAAGTCATTCGTGTCCCAATTTTTTTTTTTGAAATACGAACACATCTTAATTCAACTTTGAATGATTTTCGTTCATCCTACCTTTCTCTTTCATCCTTTGAATGAGCTTATTAGCAAAGAAATAAAAAGGGTGAGAAAATACCTTTCCAATGATAACTCACAAGTCTAAATCGGAAGAGGTTAGGTTCAGTTATTCAAGTTTTTCTTATACCAATCTTTGAAAAAAGTTAAAAAAAAGAGCTGCAAAAATCT